ACTTCAAGTTAAAAACACATGGTATTTGATCACTTCTGTTGCTGCTTTTAGAACAGACAACTTGTGCCATGTGTTTTATGTGGTAAATGAGGGGATCATGATGTCAGTGTGTGTGTGTGTGTGTGTGTGTGTGTGTGTGTGTGTGTGTTTGTGTGAGAGAGAGCAAGCAAGACGGTAAGAAAGAGAAAGGGACAAGGAGAGCACGTGCCAGGCAGGGCTGAGCTATTAGCAGGCCACTTGAGATGGGTTATGTAACAGCGCTGTGGCTGCTGCAGTACCTGCTAGTCCTGTAGCGCTGTCATAATTTTACACACAAACACCCAAACACTGACWCACACACACACACACAGAACAGACACTCGGTGTAACATGAGCTGACTCTTTTGCTCGACACCAAATCATTTTATGCTACCAACCAGATGCACTCATTATAAGTCAGTGTGTGTGTGTGTTTCAGTTCTAACCTGCCTTTTTTTTTTTTACCAAGAAGGGTGAAAAAAACTAAGTATTTTTCTAAAACAGTTGCTTCCACACTCACGCAGACGCACCAACTGCACATGKACACAATCAAGGTAGAGTCAAACAGACGAGGTTCAGAACTAAAACTAAAAGTTTTCCAAGTGAAGCGTCGAGTCAAAATCCTTTCTGGGCTGCGGTTTGAAGAAACAAACGATGCAAGCTGCTGCAGAAACCAACATCCAGGACGTCTACTTTCCATTTTCAGCAGCTCTTTTACAGATAATGTCATGGCATCGGTGCTTTTATAATAAAAAAAAAACTACTTGCACTGATGGGTATCTGCGAGCAGCTTGTTTCTGTCCGAGTTGTACATTGGATTTAATTACAGCACCCACTCAGGACAAATGATTTAGGTCAGTGGGTTTTAATTAAAATAACTTAGACATTTTGCTCTAGCAGAGGTACAGAACATATCAATTTAAATGATCTTTTAGTGGCAGCCATGCTTGTTTTTAAACTTATATTTTCTTTTTAGGCCATCTTGGACTTGAGGCGTCTCTCTGCAGAGAGAAACCACAGGCCAGGCACGGGGATCATTCTAAGTGCTGCAAAGTCTGTGCCACCTAAAATTAATTATCGTAATTTTGTGTGGATTTTAAAAATATATCCAAGAGTAACTTTATTTTATGGAATTTTGTCACTTTATCTGAATTCAAATAGGACTTCATTTGGATTTGGATTGAAAATCCACATTTTGTGAACCTCWGTTTTAACAACTAAAACATGGCTAATAGGTTGGGAACCACTGCACTAATCCAAACTGCAAGCCATATTTTTTTCCACATCATACACAAAACTAATAACAAAGCAGACTAGATTGTGTTCAGCACATAACAGTAATTATACAGTCCTTCTTTGAGTGATTTAATGAAGGCCAGAAACTGAAACTCAGTCTGATAACAATACAGGTGTTACATAAAACTGCTAGTCACTGAATTCCCTGCAATCAATGTCACTTTAAATATAATGGCTGGATCTGATCATTAAAGTATGCATCCATATAAACAATCAAACAAACTGAATGTTTTCTGGTACATGCCCACGTGTTTCTCTGCTCTGCAGCATATTAGGAGGTGTTAATTTAAATTCCTGACTCATCATTACCTCATCTGCCAGAAATACCTTGAACGGGCATCAGAGAACAGACCTGTCAGAGGACCTGCTAATGCATATTAATTCAATGTCTGTCACCTGTTTGTTATGCAAATCGCTCGTTCTAATGCCAACATTCTTCTGCCCATCACAGTCGAATGTTAATCACAAAATGTGCCARTGTGCAACTGGGACTCGTTTGAATCTGTTAACCCACCCGAAACACCTCCAGTTGCCCCTACATCCTTCAGCTTCTAGTCCGTCTGTCAACTCAGCATACTGATGATAATAGTCCTGGACCAGGTTTAATTACTTTAACTGTTCTGTGTCCTGACAGGTTAGGAGCTCAGCTTGGTGAGGCCTACCTGGAGACGGTGACGTTTCTCTCCAGCAGCGAGCAGTGAGGAGAATAAATTGGGATGCCTAGCACAGGCCTGGAGGCTCAGYCTTGTTTTTCGATCACTCGCCTCCTGTAGAGGATCAGGATTCGGGAGCACACTGTGCAAATGTTCTAGTTTAAAGRGAAGCTGCTGCAACTTTGAAACACTAAGATTTCTGCTACATCTGATACAGGTTGGCAGGAAAAAAACAAACGAGAAATATTTTATTATTTTTGCTAATGACTTCTTGGAATAATAAAAGGGAAACTCAAAAGTATTTCTGTATTCGATTAACAATGGTGCAGTGGTGTCTTATTCTTTTTAAATTATCAGAATGTTTTATGAATGAAGATGTTTAAGGGAAAGAAATATTATATAATAAGCACTGGAACCACCGGTCAAACAGGAAATGCTACTTTGAGAAAATATACAAKTGCATTCCTAGCAAGCCTTCAATAAACTGTAGCACACGTGAGGCCTTGTCCACACAGGAACCGTTTTTCCAAAACAATCTTATTTGTTGTTTAAAAAAATATCCCTTGAACACAGCACCATTTCAATATATCTTCATCCACACACAAACACGGAAAACAAACCAAAACTGTGAATTTATAGATGCCATGAAAATTCACCAAAAACAGGAAACAAGATGTGGAGAATGTGCACAAAGTTTACACACTGTGTAGATAAAATGTTTAATACACCAAGAAGAAGATGAAGATGCCCTGGGGTTGTGGGTTAGATCAGTGTTTCCCAAAGTTGGGGTCGGGACCCAAAGTGGGGTCCCGAAACATCAAGGTGGGGACCTGAAAAGATTTTCTGAATCAATTACATTTTTGCCTTAGTTGTTACAAAGGAGTGAGGTTAGTATATTTAAAATGGACCTATTATGCAAAATTCACTTTTTAAAGTTCTTTTTTACTCAACTTTGGGTATATACTTC